ATTATTTTGGAGACCTGAGAATTCCCCCAAACTCTTTCTACAGTCTTAGTAAACCTGTTGTATCATGCAGTGATTTTTCCGCCCCCGCTTGGGAACAAGCATGTAATGTAGAAGATTTTATGTACCTATTTCTCATCTTAGGCTATGGAATGGAAACTAATGGACATTTTCACTTGCCTGTCTTACTATATATTTCACGGGTGTTCCTAGGAAGCTTTACCCGGAATTATAGATTTTTATTTATTTACTTGTTCCCCTTGGGCATTACAATTTGAGGACATTAATGTGTGCGTTTTCAAATCATTATTTACTTCTATTTTTTTCTACCCTCTGCCTCGGTGGCCCTGTCACTCCCAGTACACTTAACAATCCAGGATATAATATTGCACTAATATTTTCATAGCACAGCTGCAGCCTAAATCAATGGCAATAAAACAGGAGGGCAATAGAGAAACGAAAACTGGATTTAAGATCTCATAACAAGCGAACAAAGTTTTTAAAATGTAAAAACACAAAAAAAACAACAACCAGGGAGCTGTTTTAATACATTAAAAGACAAAGCACCGGTCTGTTTATTTATTTATTTTTAGGAAGAAAACCCATGAATTTAACCCTCCTTCTGTGTCCTTTCGTGAGTTCTCTCTCTCTCTCTCTTTTAAACTGCTGCAATCATCTGAGGGATTATGGAATGGATCCTGAAGTTGTTCTAAACTACGATTTAATCATAGCTTAGGCAAATGACCCACAATAGGTGGCATCACGGAATAAGACACATAAAAGCCAAGTCAGTGTATGGCTTTATATATTGGGTTAAAGCAAACTACCACAGCCTGAAAGACAGAGCAGAAAAATAGGCATTTGATCAGCATGGGAGAAAGTGAGTTGGAGTAAGATGATGTCATTGCCCAGACTGTTCCTGACATTAAGATTCAGAATAGAGTTGGAAGGGGCCTTGGAGGTCTTCTAGTCCAACCTCCTGCTCAAACAGGAGACCCTATACCATTCCAGACAAGTGATTGTCCAGTCTCTTCTTAAAAGCCACCAGTGATGGAGCATGCACAACTTCTGGAGGCAAGTAGTTCCACTGGCTAATTGTTCTGACTGTCAGGAAGTTTCTCCTTAGTTCTAGGTTGCTTCTCTCCTTGATTAGCTTCCATCTGTTACTTCTTGTCCTGCCTTCAGGTGCTTTGTATAATAGCTTGACCCCCTCTTCTTTGTGGCAACCCTCAAATATTGCAATACTGCTATCATTAAATTAATGCTTTTAAGTCAAGGACTGCATCTAATAAACAGTTGTAAATCGAGGATGACCACTAATAAACTGGGCACTTGGAAGCCTTAGAGGCAGGTCTAATGGATCATTCTGGTTTTCATTCTGGTCCCCTCTTATAATTTACCTGCTTAGCTTTTTCCTTCAAGACAGCAAGCTGCGAGGTGTTAAAACGACGGACTGAGCCAAGGATTTCCACAGTTTGGGCAAACGTCCTGCTTTCCATACAGCTCAGTTCCCGGGCAGACCAAAAGATGTTTGCTTCCGATAATGTTATAATCTCATCCGAAGAGGGTGCCATGACACCTTCACAGTCTGAAAATGAAACAACGTGGAGGCATGTTAAGATAAAGATAATCCTTGATGTACAGTCCCAAATTTCCACAGCTAAACGAATTGCTTACCCGACGTAGAATTAGATAGTTGGGCTGGACTTCTGGAGGCATAAAGAGATTCAAATTGAGCCAAGAGAAACTGCTTGGGTGAAGAGATGGGTTGGGATGCAATTTCCGAGACGAAGTCAGGAAACTTCAGGAGGGAATGAAAAAAATAAAACAATGAGGATTTTAAGTCACTCTTGCTTTGATCGAAGATAAATGGGAATTCTGCCGACATTAGAAACTCTAGGGCTGGATTAAGCTAAGAAATACCATCCAAGTTTACACATCGTGCTAATCCTAGGTGCTCCCACTTATCCACAATCGAGCTTCTCCATTCTTTTTAGCAGAGCATCGCGAATACCTTTTCCAGTAGGGCAGTCAAGTCATCCTTTGGCCATAACACAATAAAAGCTCGGTGGTCCTTAATTGTTTCAACCGTCCAGTTTCTTGGCGAGCTGGAAAAGCAAAGTTGGGATCTCAGTTGTAAAAAGAAAGGTCTGGATTTGCCAAGTTTTTTTAAAAAAAAAAAAAAATACCGGTAAGATTCACACGTTGGAAGAACAGGGGAAAGAAGAAATGTTTACAGTAAAGAGTTTTGGGCTAGAAAAAAAAAATGGGTTTCTTTGCACGTAGTGGCTTTTTTGGATAAAAAGGTAAACATTTCCCTTGTCCAGTCACATCCAACTCTAGGGCCTGGTGGTCATCTCCACTTCTTGGCCGAGAAAGCCAGCATTGTCGGAAGACAATTTCTACGGTCACTTTGCCAGCATGACTATACGTTGAGGCAGCGAAGTGGTACCTATTTATTTACTTGCATTTGCATGCTTTCGAACTGCTAGATGGGAAGGAGCTGGAGCAAGGAACGGGAACTCACCCCATCCTGCAGTGCTCGGGTCTCAAACCTGGGCTGTCAGCCTTCCAGCTGACAAGCTCAGTGTCTTTAACCGTCGTTAAGCCACCACGCTCTTCTTTGGCTGTTGTTACTCAATGGGAGCCTGCAAAGATCTTACCCAAGCGATTCGATCAGCCTCTGCTTAATTTCCATCTTCTGCTCGTAGCTGAGATGGGGGCACTGGCCGTATCGGTGGAGGATCACGGTCATCGCTTCTGGGGAGACCCCCTCGCAGATGAATGCGGGGGACAAATGGCAAAGGAGGTTGCCCAACACGTCCACGGTATATTCATCGGCCACCGAGTCTTCCTGAAATGAGCCACGTCAATTCAGCAACTGAATTAAGAGGCAGAGAAATTAGGGAGGGTCCCTCCAGAATCTCTTGCTCCACCCACTGTGCATCTCTGGGCTCTGCTCCAGGTTAGTAAAATGAGGACCCAGATTGAGGACAATATGGTGACTCTGTAAACCGCTTAGAGAAGGCTTTAAAACACTGTGAAGCGGTATATAAGTCTAAGTGCTATTGCTACTGCCATTGACTCAGCCTTCCGTCCTTCCGAGGTCAGTAAAATGAGGACCCAAATTGTTGACAGCAAGATGCTGACTCTGTAAACCGCTTAGAGAGGGCTGTAAAGCACTGTGAAGCAGTATATAAGTCTATGTACTATCGCTATTGCTATCTGAGCCGTGGTGGCGCAGTGGTTAGAATGCAGTATTGCAGGCTGACTCTGCCCACTGCCAGCAGTTCGATCCTGACCGGCTCAAGGTTGACTCAGCCTTCCATCCTTCCGAGGACGGTAAAACGAGGACCCAGATTGTTGGGGGAGGCAACAGGCTGACTCTGTAAACTGCTTAAAAAGGGCTGGAAAGCACTGTGAAGCGGTATATAAAGTTTAAGTGCTATTGCTATTGCTATCCGAATTTTGATCACGGGGACCGTGGGAATGCTGCAAAGGCGGTGAGTTTGAAAAACTGTCACAAGTCACATTGAACAGTCACTAAACGAACTGTTGTACATCAGCCTGAACGAGAAACAGACTTGGAGTTGAAACAATGGATGTTCTTACTAAGCAGTGCTGGATTTTCCGCAGAAGAGTTTTTTTCTTCTGCTCGCTCCAAATGAGATGATCGAGGTCCACCTTTCCCAAACTGATTAGAAAAGGGACACAGCGGGATCCCGTGACAGATTCCAGGAACTCAGCACTAAGAGAAAGTTTTCCAAAAGTCACCTTGTGAAAATGCAGAAATTCCACAGAAGGAGATTAATTTATTTCTCTCCTGTCTCTAACCTACACACCTCAGAGCAGCTGAATCAGAAACTTACCCTCCTTAACCGGGAGGGATTACGTCCAGCTGCTCATATTACTTTTTAAATAATGTTTTATTGAAAGGAAGAGATAGTGAGAGAGAACGACAGACAAAAAAACACACAAAAGCAAAAAGCAAAACAACAAAAAATAAATTGCAGGTAGTTATCCCTACTGAATTGAACTTACTCAGCACAAATCTCTTACACCGTGAACATTAAACAGGTAATGAAAATTATAGATCAAGTTGAAATATGATTCTATAGAAATAGGGCAACCATATGTAACAGCAAAATCCAAGAATGGTTTCCAGTTTAAAGGAGAACATTTCTCCATTTCTCCCCAAAAAGAGATCAAAGATCTTTTTCAATTAAAAAAAAAAACATATAGTGCAGATTCCTTGCAGCCTTTCGTCTAAGTTATATGGATAAATTTGAATGTGAAATTCACCCAGCTATTCATATTCGACAGAGCTTTGCTTCAACAAATTGAATCATGTCTCTGCCAAAGAATTAGTAAAATGGCCACTTAGCCTCAAACCCAATTAGTGATAATAATAATACTTTGAATGTTAGTGCGAACATTTTACAATCTCTACATTCCTTGAGTTTAAATCTCAATCCATCTCAAGGTATTTACCGAATCTGAAGTGTAACTTTCATTGTGCGTTTAGCTAGTGGTTATCTTACGATTACAATGAAATAATTCTTTGTCTTTCATAGGGTCCTTTCAAATCCTAATGCCAAATGTCATAATTGAAATCAGATTAAAGGGTTTTCATTATTTGGAGACATAGCAGCTATCAGAAATACTAAGTTGTTTTTTTTGGGAAAACCATGAAAGAAATGTCTGAATATTGGCTGGCATGCTATATGGCATTTACAATTGGCACTATAAAGATCTATAATTTTCATAATGTTTTTCCCCCTGGTGAGAGAAAAAAAGAAAAGGAAGGTAATTAAAAAGAATGGCTTACGGAAGCACAGCTAAGAGGTAGGGAGGGAGGGACGCTTCAGAAATTGTCCAGAATTTCCAAGCCAGACAATTGAGCTGCAAAAAGGATTTTTCCAAATGTGATTACGTAGAAACAAAACACATAAAGACTATAATCCTGAGTATTTTTTTCTATATATGCCAATGTAATATCAATAATTTTAATCCATTGTCAAGTCAATTTCACACTTAGTCAAGATGATCTCAAATTAATGCTGTCATTTGTCTGAAATGGTATAGGGTTTCCTGCCTGAGCAGGGGGTTGGGCTAGATGACCTCCAAGGTCCCTTCCTCCTCCTCCTCCTCCTCCTCCTCCTCCTCCTCCTTCTTCTTATTATTATTATGCACATTTGTGGTTAAAAAAAAACTTGACACATTCCCTGTAGAGTCCCTAAACACAATTTGCAAGCAATTTATACCTACAAAATAACACATTTTGGGTGTGTTACTTTCATAATGTGTGTTAAATACACACACACACAAAGATGTGTATGGAATTTAACATCTGTGCTTTTATGGATTTGCGTAGATAAAAGTGAGATTTTTTTCAAATTCAGAGAAGTGCCGAATTCAGGAAGCAATTGCTGTTTTTCTACTACACTATTTCCAAAAGGTGAAATCTCCTTAAAATGCAATTCTCCTTAAAGGTGTTCTCCTTCAAATGCAAATTGCAAGAATGTCTCTCCATTTCATTTGCCCTAGGTGAACCTCTGAAATCATGAAACAGATACTTAACAAACCTTCTGTTAGAAATAAAACAAATGTATTAGGATATGTTCATATTTGACCTGGAAGGGGGACAGCAAATGAAGCTGCTTTTCAAATATATGGAAAATGTTCAAAAAAGTGATTGCACTCAAATTCTCAATATGCCAGCAGGTCAGTCCTTTCAACAGCTGTTCATTACTGGGGGGGAAAGAGAAAAAAAAATACAAAGTAAGAATGTGTAAGATCCAATTTAATTCTTAAAAATGTTCCCTCTCATTCAAGTAGATTTGATCTCTGAAAAAGAAGGTTTTCTAAGGATCAAATTCCTCTCTTTCAATTCGTGTCTTTCCAAAGAGTTCTATTACAAGTCCTCTAATTTCCAGCCAGCATGGCCAATGGGTGAAGGAGCATGGGTGCTGTAGTAGCTGTAGGACCTCTGTCTGGAGATACAGAGAGAGAGAGAAGATGGGATAGATAGATAGATAGATAGATAGATAGATAGATAGATAGATAGATAGATAGATAGATAGATAGATAGATGGATGGATGGATGGATGGATGGATGGATGGATGGATGGATGGATGGATGATAGATAGATATAGATATAGAGATATAGATGGATGGATGGATGGATAGATAGATACAGATATATGTTGATAGATAGATAGATAGATAGATAGATAGATAGATAGATAGATAGATAGATAGATAGATAGATAGATAGATAGATAGATAGATAGATAGATAGATGTTGATGGATGGATGGATGGATGGATGGATAGATAGATAGTTGATAGATGGATAGATAGACAGATAGATAGATAGATAGATAGATAGATAGATAGATAGATAGATAGATAGATGTTGATAGATGGATGGATGGATGGATGGATGGATGGATGGATGGATAGATAGATAGATAGATAGATAGATAGATAGATAGATAGATAGATAGATAGATCAGTAGTTCTAGGCACACAGAGTTCAAACATTCAGCAATCCTTGTCTTGGACATTCAGGTAAAATGTGAATTCTTAAGAACATTTAGTCTCACAAAACTGGACGAAAATGTTTAGCATCCAAACTAACTGAAGACTCATGTTGAGGTCACCACTCAATAGTCCAACACTGCTGAGGGGTGACTTCAACGTGGACCCTACGTTCTCACTGTAATGCAAGGGTTAAAGCCTAATGGATGCTTCCTTACCTTAAGAGATCAGACAGGGAGGTCTTCCTTGACAACAATTCGTACAGAAACAAAGCCTGAAATGAAACAGAGAAGAGATCTCTGGGCTACGGCAATTTTTCTTTCACTTTGGCAACTTGAAGATAGGCGGACTTTAACTCCCAGAATCCCCCAGCCAGCCTATAACCACGCAATCAAAGCCCTGCCCTCTTTTACAAGTGATGCACATTGATTAAAAGGGGGCAAGCTTCCATTGCATGGTTGGCTGTGCCTTCTTGACTTTTCCGAGCCCTCTGGGGATACCTGTGACAATGGGGATTGGGAGAATATCCAGATTAAGGCCAAGGTGTGGGAGAATTGCCTCCTTCGGTCCTCCTATTGACCCAAAGCCTTGCCTTCTCTTCCACCTGCTGGTTGTCAAACCCAAGAGCGCCATCAACCAGTGGAACAGCTTACCCCCAGAAATCTTGGGCGCTCCATCACTGGAGATTTTTAAGAGGAGACTGGACATTCACCTGTCTGAGACGGTATAGGTTCTCCTGCTTGAGCAGGGGGCTGGACTAGAAGACCTGCAAGGTCCCTTCCAGCTCTATTCTGATTGATTGATTGATTGATTAAAATAATCAAGGAAAGAAGCAACCTGGAATTAAGGAAAAACTTCCTGACAGTGAGGACAATCAACCAGTGGAACATCTGTCCTTCAGAAATCGTGGACGCTCCATCACTGGAGACTTTTAAGAAGAGACTGGACATTCACCTGTCTGAAATGGTGTAGGTTCTCCTGCTTGAGTAGGGGGCTGGACTAGAAGACCTCCAAGGCCCCTTCCAGCTCTATTCTATTCTATCATGCGCCCGTCCACTTACTGCTCTGCCAGATTACCTGGCTGGTCCTCAGCTCTTTATTTTTCACCAGCGACGCATTGAGGCTGCCTGCTTTCCATAAGTCAAACAGGGAGACCTCGGTAAAAAAGGCACTAGGCAGATCAGGGAGGACCGACGAGAGCGGCGAAGATGCCAGGATCTGTAGAAAAAAAAGGGAAGCTTTTGAAAAGGTTCCTGGAATAGCATGCGTGAACAACCTTGGGAGACAGGAGGAAGAGACACAGGCTAGACTATGGTCAGATAAGAGGCAGCTGAGCCCTCAGAAGGAAAGGGACAGTGTAGACGTCTCAAAGAGACCCTCCCTTATTTTTTGGACTGTAAAGGTGGGGAGGGGTGAGATGACCTTTCAGACTAGACAAGGTCGATGTAAGCCCTTCAAAGTAGTTCAGACAGGAAGCACCACCCAGGAATGCTAGCTCTGCCTTTATTCTAAGGTTACATTGACAGAATCTCGCGGTACGTTAATCTTGTGGACCAATCAGTTGATGTAATGGTTTGTGTGAATGGGAGACAGGAGGAACAGCCACAGAATAAGCCAGTCTGTCACGAGTCTGGCTAATGAAACACTTCAAAGAACTTTCAGCCATGGTTTAACCTAAAAAAGCCTTTATTAGTGTAAAAGGAGTGTCAGCACGGCATGGAGAATGCCAAGATCTGAATTTCCCTTCCTTTGCACATAACATTCCAGGCATTTCCCCTCCCCTATTTTGGGGTCATGATTCACATCTTTCAATTAACCTGGAGGGCAAAGATTCACTTCCGTTCCCTTTCGGCGGGCTTTTCTCTCCTCTCTCTTTCTCCTCTGAATTAACTCTAAAAGTACCAGACAGTTCTGCCTATTTTGTCAAAGCAAGAATATTCAATATTAGCAGCGTTGACACAGTCAGCTAAGAGGCAGCCGAGCCCCCAGAAGGAAAGGGAAGTGGTAAACTGTCTCAGAAGGGACCCTCCCTCTTTAGTTTCTTGGACTTCATCCAAACCTTGGAATCCAGTAGAATTAGTTACGCCAAGAAGCTAGTCCTCTTGATAAGATTGTGTGAAATGAAGAAAATGGAGAGGAAATCTCTCTGGTTCTAAACCTACGACGTCTCCATCTCACTCGCAGGTTCCTCCACCGCACAGAAATACCAGCATTTACCTTCCGAAAGATTCCTTGTCTTTGAGCCGGGGTCAAATCCATTGCCCGCTGTGTCAAGACACTCTGGATGGCCTGAGAGAGTTCATTGGGGTTCATATTGTAGAAGGACAGGGTGTCAATGCCAGGCGCCAAAGCCCCCATTTGGCTAACATTGTGGAACAACAATGCCTGGCAAGAGAACATAAACCAGGATTTATGGCTGAAAGGATAGTGTGAACGTCGGCAATTGGCCTTATTCAATAAACGGTTCAGTAAACCACCATTGGCACACTACGTGGACTCAATGGGCAAACATGGCAAAGGGCTAGGAATTCATCTAACATTCCCCATCTCAAGGAATACCCCAAGCAAAAGGTTTTTGTTCTTAAAAGCGAAGCGATGCCTTTGAAAAACCAAACGTACCTTTTCATAAAGCAGGTATTTGCTGGCTAGAATGATGGTTTGGCTCTTGGCCCATCTGGAGACTTGGTTTAAAGTGGAGATGGCAGAATGCACGGCTCGGGGGGAGAGAGATTCCAGTTGGCTCGTGGCCAGCCCCACGACAGCATCTGAGAGGGCGCCGAGGATGTCATTCAAAGTCTGGTTTTGGACGGCAACGTTGAGAAGTTGGGACTTCAGCTGGAACCATTTCAAGAACACCAAGGATCATCACAGCGAAACACACAACTTCTGGAAAAGCTGCTGCCAAGAAGCTCAGACACATAGTTTTCACAGAACATAGAATCCTAGAGCTGGAAGGGACCCTGAAGGTCTTCCAGTCGAACCCCCTCCTCATGGCAGGAGCCTTATACCATACCGGTCAAATGCTTGTCCAATCTGTTTTTGAAAACCTCCATGATGGAGCGCCCATAACTTCTGGAGGCAAGCTATTCCATTGCTTAATTGTTCTCACTGTCTGAAAATTTATCCCTACTTCTAGGTTGGTTCTCTCTTTGACGAGCTTTCAACCATTAATTTTTGTCCTGCCCCAATCCCCTCTTCTATGTGACAGCCCCTCTAGAACTGAAAGACCGTTATCATGTCCTCCCTTCCCTTCTTTTTTAAAAAAATATATTTTATTGATTTCTTAACATAAACACCTTGATATTTGGTAAACAGCGTGTTGTCTGGGCTTATATTTACAAAGCAATAACTAAGAATCGGTTTCTATATTCCAAAGTCCACACAATAGCTTTGCTTGATTTTCTCTTCTTCCAATAATATTCTCTTTGCCAACCTTGAATTAATACAGTTCTTATTAGTTTGATAGGTAGCAATTAAATATGAAGATTTTTCTAAAATTTCTACCAATCATAATCACATCAATATCAAAATCCCTTCCCTTCAATAAGCTAGACCAGGGGTAGGCAACCTTGGCTCTTTTATGACTCATGGACTTCAACTCCCAGAATTCCTGAGCCAGCCACGCTGAGGGGAAAGGGAGAGGTTTCCAAGCTGAGCCAGGCTGGCTCAGGAATTCTGGGAGTTGAAGTCCACAAGTCATGAAGGGGCCATAGTTCCCCCATGCTGGCTCAGGAATTCTGGGAGTTGAAGTCCACGAGTCATAAAAGAGCCAAGGTTGCCTACCCCTGAGCCAAACATACCTAGCTCCCTGACCTGTTCATCCTATGATTTAGCTTCCAGACCCTGGATCATCTTTGTTGCTCTTCTCTGCACGCTTTTCAGCATCTCAACACCTTTTCCTAACATCATGACCAGAACTGGATGTAGTTTTCCAGTTGTGGTCTCGCTAGTGCAGTATAAAGTGCTATTATCACTTCCAGTGATCAAAATCAAGAGGTCACTGCAAAGCCCTCACCAGGGATGTTGTCCCAGTCTCTACCTACCTTCTGCACGTCGGCCTGGAAACTTCTCAACTGGTGACATTTCATCATCTGGTGAAGCAAGGCCCGAGCCATGGTGGAATCCATCTCTGCCAAATCATGGTAGAAACAAACCAGCAAACCCAGCCTGTGCGAGAAACAGAAGAGGTTGGTTGCCTGTCCTTTCTCTAGATGTTGTTTTCTTCTGGAGAAATGATGTTTGTTGTCTTGTCTTTTCTCCTATCTTCATTAAAGCCTATTTCAGGCAACTGAATTCCAGTCTGAGAAGAACTTCCTTGCGTCCTTCAAGAAGCCAGAGGCAACTCTCATACCATAGATGGTGTCCCTGTCTAGCCGGGTTGAGCAAACTGGACCCCAAATTGTTCCAAATTATCCTGAAACAAACTCAACATCCAAAATGACCAATTTGAATGTTTTCCCTCATGGAACGAATCAGTTAGACAACTTCACCAAACTTTGAAGAACTATGGAGTTGGAAGACTACCTAGGAGTTGGAAAGAGGACAAAAACCTTCTAGATCAGGGGTCTTCAAACTTGGCCCTTTTATGACTTGTGGACTTCAACTCCCAGAATTCCTCAGCCAGGCACGCTGGCTGAGGAATTCTGGGATTTGAAGTCCACAAGTCATAAAAGGGCCAAGTTTGAAGAGCTCTGTTCTAGATCAATCTTCTGCAGCGTGGAAGAAGATTCACTCAACCATCCACAAAAAAAGAGATTTTCTCCAACCTCTTCTTAACAATCTCCGTTAGACTACTCCACTACCCGCAACCTCCAGGGTTAGACTACTCCACTACTACTCAGCGCTTCAAAAATGCAACCCTCAGAAAAGAAAAAAGCTTGCCTGTACAAAGTGGATATGTTCCTCATATCGAAGCCAGATGTGTTGATTCTTTCCAGGAAAGCTTGGGCAAGATTGGGCGTGATATCGTACACCATATCCAGTTGCTTGGTTGCATTGTCATAGCTGACAAACAGCCACATCTAGGCAAGAAAGACAACTGAGACAGATGGGCCTCCTTGAGCCATAGACTAAAAAAAATCTTAAAATCTCATATGCTGATTTTACTGTACCTACAGGTTAAGCTTCGACTTACAACAAATTCATTTGATGACCGTAGTTGCTACAGCACTGAAAAAGTGAGTTACAGCTGATTGGTCCTCGCAGTTACAACCATCACAGCATGGTCACATGATCAAAATTCAGTTGCTCAGCAACCGGTATGTATTTATAGCACTTAGACTTACATACCATTTCACAGTGCTTTACAGCCCTCTCTAAATGATCTGCAGAGTCAGCCTCTTGCCCCCAACAATCTGGGTTCTCATTTTACCCACCTTGAAAGGATGGAAGGCTGAGTCAACTTTGAGTTGGTCAGGATTGAATTCCTGGCAGTGGGCAGAGTTAACCTGCAATACTGCATTCTAACCACTGCATCACCATGGCAATAGAATAGAGTAGAGTAGAGTAGAGTAGAGTAGAGTAGAGTAGAGTAGAGTATTGGAATAGAATAGAATAGAATAGAATAGAATAGAATATTGGAATAGAATAGAATAGAATAGAATAGAATAGAATAGAATAGAATAGAATAGAATTTGTGTCAAGCAAAGTCAATGGGCAAAGCCAGATTCGCTTCAGGTTAGACCTTCCATAATTTATCTTCATACTCAGACGTTCTTTTTACTTACTTCATACAGGTGAATTTTCTTGATTTCTTCAAGGGGAAGGTGAACCATATACCTCCCGAGAATCCACAGGTTTTCAGCGCTGACCCAAGACGTGGAATTGTCTGAAATTTGAAGGCCACAATATTAACAGCGTGCTTAGTTACCTCTAGGAACATCAGCAATATAAAAAGCTGATTACAACATTATTTTTGTTCTAGTGCCCTCTACTGAACGTCAACAAAACATCGCTAACTTCTTCAGAGCAAACTCTTGGGGACGTACAAGATATATTCATAGAGTTTTCTTGGCAATGGAAAGGAACTGATTGATGTCGTTTGGTTATTTTTGCTTTTCCAGTCGAGATTACCATTCTGAAATCTTGTGGTCTCATGTCCTCATAGTAACTGGGTCCTGTTTTCCTTAGCTTTTGCAGTGTCTGTCAGCTGGATGGGTGCTCCTTGCTGTACTTTTGTGTGAATGACCCACAAACACACCCAGAGACCCATGCAGGTGTGCACACACAGAGATAAATACTACATTTCACTTACCGCTGGCATTATGGAATGTTTGTAAGTTCTGCATCATCCACTTGTATATGGCCCTTTGAGTACTTGCGGTTAGTCTGTCGTACAGGTCTTTGAAGACTATTGACCTGAAAGACCGAAAGAATCAGATAGGATGCCTACATTTAACAAAAGTTAAAGCCCCTTACTGAAAAAGAGGTAAGATGGAACAGAATATCAGGTAGGCTCCGAAAAAGGTGTTGGGCGTTGGAAGATGATGTCCCCGGGCGTTCATGGACATCAAATCCCTGAGCCTTCCCTTTCATTGGGCAAATATTAATAACTTTTTCCCTTCGGCATAATAAACTGTGGAGAAAATGACTTACAGATTCCGGAAAGCCTCTTTCTGAAGATCTTGAGGGAAGCTTGCCACGTTGTGGGCTTGGAGATACGTGGCCGAAGAAGCTTGAAGGACCTGGCTTAAGATGTCCACACATTCAGCCGAACTGAGGAGCACAAAGCATTTTTCTAACGTAACAAGGACCAAGGTACGGTTCCCTCCAGGACTTTGGAAAAATTTCTTCCTTATTCCATGTAGGTCAATCAGGATATTTCCCAGTTCCTGGTGAAACAGGAGAAAGATCTAAGCCATGGAAAGGCAAATGAGAACTTCAACAGGGGTTGGACTGTAGTTCTGCAGGAATCTTAACGTTCATTAGAGAGAAAATGAATTATCGGTGGTTGGGAGGAGGAGGAGGAGGAGGAGGAGGAGGAGGAGGAGGAGAAAGGAGGGAAGGAGGAAAAACAGAAGAGGACAGGAAGTGATCAGACTACGGAATGTCCTATTTGAAAAAGGTTCAAAAAACTGGAATAGTTTAGAGGAAAGTTTATCAATCTTGGCAACTTTAAGATACATGGACTTCGACTCCCAGAATTCCCCAGACAGCACGGGCTGTTCGGTATGGTTGACTGGGGAATTCTGGGAGTTGAAGTCTAAATATCTTAACATTGTCAAGGTTGAGAAGAAACCTTAGTTTAAAGAAAGGCTGTGAGAATGCTCAGAAGCAACGGATGGAAACTCATCAAGGAGAGAAGCAACCTGGAACTAAGGAGAAACTTCCTGACAGTTAGAACAATTAACCAGTGGAACAACCTGCCTCCAGAAGCGGTGAATGCGCCAACACTGGAAGTTTTTAAGAAGAGCCTGGACAGCCATTTGTCTGAAATGGTATAGAGTTTCCTGCCTGAGCAGGGGGTTGGACTAGATGACCTCCAAGGTCTCTTCCAACTTTTTTATTATTATTATTATTATTATTATTATTATTATTATTATTATTATTATTATTATTATTATTATTATTATTATTATTATTATTATTAGAGTTGGGGTCTCTACACCACCTGATACCTTTGCCTTTCTTAAGAGAAAAAAATTATTGGAGGGCCCAGAATGAGACTCACAGTAACAATCCTTGTTCAGTTTTTGTCACACACAGTGACCCAACCAACCTTACCAAATACTTCTGGGTCCTTCCAAAGAGGTACTTCATGCCTGTTTGAAAATCCTCAGGGCTCATGTCCCGGAAGATTGAAAGGGACATTCTGGGGTTGTGGAAAAGATGCTCAAAATAATTGGAGATGGATTCCTGAAAAACAGGGCAGAAAGTTTTGCAAGTTCAAATATGGGAAGGTGAGACTCAAATCTCTTTTTTTATTATTTCCAATGCCAGGGGTCCTTCTGATGGTGCTTGCTAAGCAAATCCATCCTCTAGCCCAGAAAAGTCCATCCACTTGACATCCTTTGTCTTGCCCAGAGTGACCCACAGCTTCTCCCTTTCACCCCAAGTTTAAGCATGCCCCCCAAAATACTAAAACACAACCACATCTTGAATTACTGGATCTTAATGCTTTCGCTAAATTATATATGGAACATCTGAACATCTCAAGTCTATAAGAGACAAGAGCAGGGTAAACTCTGACATAACTAGTCAAGAAGGATGGGATATGTAACACACACACACCCAATTTTCCACTATTTTATTCCTGAAAAATCACCTTTCTACTTTAGCCCTTACAGGAATGAAAATATGAGGTCTTTACCACCTGTAAACTGCTGTAAGTAACTGCAAAGTTCTGAGCTTGGCAATGTGCCATGATTTTGTTGAAGAGATCTTTGGTCCAAATATTGTGGCTAAAAAAAGAAGAAGAAAAAGAAAATCCAGTAATTTATCCTAAACAGAATTGTATAGAAATGTGACGCTTGTTAACAATGCAGCAAAATCATTCACATTATTAGGAACAATTCTTTTTTTTTTTTTTTTTACATACTGGTAGTGTTTACACTGCATGAATCAGAACCTGTGGGTAACTTACGTTGTTTGTTACACAAACTGAGATCATTGGGCTGATGGAATAAACAATGGTTTGGTTGCCATAGTTTATTCCATCAGCCCAATCATCTCAGTTAATGTAACGAACAACAAGGTAAATTTCCCACAGGCTTGAATTCATGCAATTTAGGTTAAAACACCTTTAATTCATTTGTAGATGAGCACGTATTATGATTTGCACCAACAATTCAAATGCTGGCTGGAGTCGTTATTCCGCACAAAAGTTCCTTTAATACAGATGCCAGTTTTTGCATTTAGAAAGTAATTACATGATCTTATTTCAACGAAACTGGGATCCAATCCAGCTTTTATTCCTGCACCACCAGCTAAATCATTGAAAAACATATATCAGATGCTCACCTTTGGAAATGAAGAATGCTGAGGAGAGCTGAAAAAAGAGAAATATTTCAAAAGTTAATAAAATTAGATTTAAATGAGATTAAAAAAAAAAGACAAGGAAAATTAATACCAATTACCGTTTAAATACTGCCCAGTTATGATATCTTCCTAAAGAAAGAGAATTTTGTACAGTTGAACAAAGCAATGGTAAAAGATAGTTAGAAACGTTTATTTAATGTATCGCTTTTATTGTTTTAAAATTATTCTTTATTGTTTTATTCTTTTAGTGCACGGGTGTCAAACTCGCTGCGTCACATGACGTGTTGTGACGTATCGTGACTTTTTTTGCATTGCCAGAGTTGGGGGTGGGCACGACCTCCATATGATGCAGCTAGCCCACGGGCTGGCAGTTTGACACCCCTGCTTTAGTCTGTTAAAACTTTTTTTTTTTCTTTTGTGTAATTCGGTGCTGTCGTAAGCTTCTCTAGGAACTCCTTGTTTTGGAGGGCAATGTG